GCTTTATCCTTTATCACATTAGATTCCACTACCCATATTCGTTTGAAGGAGCCTCTGAAAGCTCGCTGCAATCCACATCTCCGGCTGCAGGCCATGCCTTCCGTTAGTGGTTACCACGTGACGTTTACAAGATGGGGGCGGAGTTGCGACAGCGTTTAACACTACGCGGCCAATGATTGGCAATGGAGCAGCTAAGGCTAGGTTCGTGAAACTCGTCCAAAACGCTCCTTATACATCCCAAGTCGGAATTCCGCTGAAATAGAGGCGGCCTCATGCGGAGCGTAACTGAAATTTTTTGATTTTTCTTTTTTGCACACACCACACCTCCAGCTTCATTACTGAATGCTCTTAGACACCATTTTACTTTGTCTCCAAATTGAAATGGTACCTTGTCGATATTTAGGGCAAGAGCGAAATCTTCGCATTCTAGAAAAGTAATTAACCAATGCTCAATGGCTTATCTAGAGCCAATCACTTTTATTATATTCGCTAAAAGTGGTCACTTTGCGAGCTGTTCATTTAGGTACTCATGGGTGTATTTCGACTACAATATCTCACAACAGTTTTCTCTGAACAAGTAATGTCTGGTTTCGTCGTCGGTGGTGGTGTACACGTGTTTTTTGCACAGATAGGCGATGTACTCGGAATGAAGTTGCCAAGAAGAAGTGGTCCTGGCTATTTGTATTATGTAAGTTGAAGCGCTTTCTTGGAATTCTTTGTAATTTTTACATGGTGGCAATGATTCTCACTCAAGACGATCGGTAAAAAACAAGTGAACAACTTGCCAGAGCACCGGCTTTATAATGAATATTCCTCATTGTATTCGACACCAACGTACAAGGAGTGAGGGGGGCGGGGGGAGGGTCTCAAAAATTAGTCACTTCGCTTACCCGGAATTAGATACACTTTGTTAAAACAAAGCCAAATGATCTCAATTGAGAATTGAAAAGCAAATTCTAATTCATCAAAAAGCCCACGGCAACCTGCACCGCGATTTCTCACGGGAGCATGGTGCACGGTCCGAGCTCAACAAGGTCCTCGACGGTTTGTAGACTTCTTAGACATATCCAAAAATCTGGTTGGCAGGAGTCTTCGAAGGTGTTCGGAGAGCTATACCCTAATTGAAGAAATTATGCTGCAGCTCAGAATAAAAGCGATCACGGCTGCCTTCTTTGAGAATCGACGGTGACATGGCAGATAACGTCATAGCCATGGGCGAAGTTACTCTTTTGGTAATCCCATTCTATTATATTTTACGGTTCTCCTAAGATGAACAAACTAAGCTATGATTCCAAGGGGAACATGCTGGAAGCAGCTTAACTGAAACCTTCACGAAAAGTAGTAGATCTGTACAAAAGCACTTGAACTTCATAATACTTATACATGTGTAATAAAAGAAGTGGATGGTCTGTAGATACGAGCCTTAGTCCGAATTCAAGCGAAAATTCGTGAAGTCGTACACTCCCTAAAGGAGGGTGGTGCGATGGATTGGTTGAAAGTTACAAAGGGGAGTTAAAGTGGTAAGCAGTACAGTGAGGAATGAAACGCTAAAGGAAATGGCCTGAAACCCGCAGGTTGGGCCGTCGTTCCCCTTATTTATTTCCACGTTTATATATAAGTATGGTTGTGATTGTGATTCTCAATTTCAAGCTTTTCAGAGGATATGTGATCTTATTGAGAATATTGGCAATATACATTATCCTACTCTGGCTATTTCCTTATCATCACTGACATTTTTGATCTTTGGCAAAGAATTCATCTCACCATGGTTGAGCACAGCATTTCACTTTCCAATTCCATTTGATTTAGTTCTGGTAAGTAGCAAAATTTTTCTTCAGCCTGAGTTATTTCTTTGTCCCGAAACACTTGTTCCCATCTTCACAGCTCCGCAACACAACAAACCATAATTTTGTCACAAGTGAACGTATGGCTTTGGGCTACGCTACCACTATTCCAGCAACTTTTATAATTCGTAGAGAAGGTGTGATGCAAGAAAACATCATCTTTTAAATGTTTTATCTAGTCACTGTGCGACATCTGAAAAGGTCGCGAGCGCAGAGTGCACCATTCGATTTTAAGAATTTACAAAAACAAAAAGGGTGAACTGGAAAGGCGACGGAAAGCAGCATATGTAGCCCAAGAACTCCTCTAAGGTAAGTACCCTCTGCGCGGCTGGACAGAACTTTCACGTCGATTCATCAAATTTCATAATTTGTCTGCATTGTACGTAGTACGCGGCCGAGGCTGGAGTCAAGTGTGCTTTCACATCACGGACACGCACATACGATAGATTATCCTACTTACTATAAAGCGCTTCGTCTGTCGTTCTGTCTCTGTCGTTCTGTATGTCTGTCACGAAATTCCCTAGCTCCTCGGGATCCGCCTGGAGGGACCGGGTCAAGTGTGGGATGGGTGGGCAAGGTCTCACGTAATACAAAACACACATCAGCTAAGCGGAGCCCCGCCCACAGAGGGCGTGGCGTGCGTCGAAATGAATTGTACCAAAGACCAAGATTTCGATTTCAGTGACAAAACGACCTCGAAACTGGGCCAAAAAGTGGGCTAAGGTGTGCATTGGTAAGTCACATCGAATTAGGGAGACCCACCCCCGGTGGGCGGGGCGTTCTCTAAAAAAGCAGTGCTTTATGAAAAATTTCATAACTCGGTTGGGAGAAAGCCTACAGAGCAGAAAACAATTGGTGTAAGGGAGCAATGTCTAAGGTGTTTCCTGCATACATGACGTGGGCGGAGGCCCGCCCAGAATGGGCGGGGCGCGCTCTGAAGTGTACAGCATTTTCTACAAGCCCTCATAATTCGGGTCGGGGAAGTCCTAAAGAGCCGGAAAAAGGTGGATAGAGGTGGTGGAGGAGTGGAGGTGGGGCGGGGCCTGACCAAAGTGGGCGGAGTTTGCGACGAAAATTTATAACTCGGCTCCATGAAGCTCCGGAGGCTGGGGAAAAGGTGGATAGAGGTGGGTGGAGGAGTGGAGGCCAGCTGTCATTGGTGGGCGGGCTTGACCAAAGTGGGCGGAGTTTGCGACGAAAATTCAGAACTCTGTTCCAGAAGTCCCGGAGAGTGGGGAAAAAAGAAGATATAGTTGGGTGGGAAAGTGGAGGTCAAAGGCCAGTGGTAGGCGGGGCTTGGCCAAAGTGGGCGGAGTTTGCGACGAAAATTCATGACTTGGCTCCAAGAAGTCCCTGAGGCCGCGGAAAAGGTGGATGGAGGTGGGTGGAGGAGTGGAGGCCAGCTGTCAATGGTGGGAGGGACATGACCAAAGTGGGCGGAGTTTGCGACGAAAATTCATAACTCGGCCCCAAGAAGTCCAGGAGGCTGGGAAAAAGGGAGTAGAGGTCGGCGAAGGAAAGGAGGTCAAATGCTATTAGTGGGTAGAGCACGCACCCAAGTGGGCGGAGTTTGCCAAAAGTATCGCAATTCGGTTGCAAGAGGTCCTAGAGATAGGGGAAAACGGGGTTAGAGGTTGGTGAGGGAAAAGAGCTCAACTGCTATCACTGGGTAGAGCACGCACCTAAGTGGGCGGAGTTTGCCAAAAGTGTCGTAATTTGGTTCCAAGAGGTCCCAGAGACCGGTGAAAAAGGGGGTAGAGGTCGGCGAAAAGAAGGGAGCCAAATGCTATTGGTCGGCAGGGCACGCACCGAAGTAGACGGAGTTCGCCACGAGATTTATTGTCCGGGCCGAGGACCGAGAAAAATAGGATAATGGTTGACGAAGAAAGAGCGCATAGAATTTAGCGGAGAATTCAGATATTCGTATTGTATCAAGCCAAATTTGAAATTTTTCGTCGCACCATCAAAATTCGCCACAGATCTGTGTTGCGCGCGCAATGCGTGCGGCGCCAACTGGTGAGTATAAAATATAAACCTGTCATCAGTTTTAGTTCAGGGCCTTGAGTCTTTCATGGAATGCATCCATCGGAGCGCAAGCGATTTCCTTCAAGCTTCGTCTGAGACCTTTTCAGGAGCGGTCCGTAGATTCCAAAGTCCTGTGAGCTAATCAGGTCTTGGACCCAAACAGGTCAGACGCATCAATGCGAGCGGAGTCGGGTCACGGAGGAGCACATGAGCGCGTTGAACTGACGGCCGACACCAGTAAAAAACATAGTGTATTACAGGGTGGCTACTAAATATTGGCGCATGGATTGTTGACCATATTTTTAAAACGAGAAGCTTTTACATCTTCAGAGGTTTATCTTTATATACCTTATAACATGGCAGTACATTGCTAAAGAAAGTGCTCGAAATGGCCTTCTTCGGCAGCGATACAGTGCTTTCTATTGTGTGTTTTTTTGGTTTGTTTTTTTTTTTTGTTTTTTTTTTTTATTACGCTTCAAATCTCTTCTCAACTGACATCACTGTGGGCCGCAAGTAGCTGACGTCAAGCTCCTTCCACGCCTCCTCCAAGGAAGCCTTCAGGGAGTCCAAACTTCGACGTTGCTCAGAAGGCATCTTCTGCTTCAAGAAGCCCCACACCGCCAAATCAATTGGTTCAAATCGGGCGACAAACATTTTGTGCCGGTGACTGGAAAATGACAGTCACAGTTCTCCAACATTGGTTTTTTGCGTCTGTGGTGGAGGCCCTGTCTTGCTTTAAGAGCTGCAGCTGACGCGCCCTGAAGGTCTAAAATTCTCTGAAGAAAGGACATCCGTGAAAATTGTTTCGTATAAGATCTGCGGCGCCTCTCTGACGTGATGTATTCGTCGCAAACAAGCGTGTGCATGGTTTCAGGAGTAATTTGCCGCCCAAGCCAATGACAATGTGAAAAACGGTCTTGTGTGAACACAAGTCCAAACAGATGCTGCTAGATCACAATGCCTGTCGTTTTGCAAATCGTGCGCCACTTCTGGTCTGAAGATCTACTCACGTCACGCCGACGTCAGCTACTTGCGGCCCACGGTGATGTCAGTTGAAAAGAGACTTCAAGCCTGTATCGCTACCAAAGGAGGCCATCTCGAGCACTTTCTTTGGTAATGAATTTTCATGTTTTATTGTATATGAAAATAAACTTCTGAAGATATGATAGCTTCTCTTTTTGGAAATATGATCAATAAACCATGCGCCAATATTTAGTAGCCACCCTGTAAATTTGCCACACTTTCAAGGCATCTCGGAACTTATAAAAGTAGAACCACATCTATGGAAGGCTATATTCTATGGTGTCAACTTATGACAGCCGTTTCCCATGTTTACACGAAATCTCTGAGTTTTAAGGCAGTGCAGAGTGATAGGACATTCCGACAAACTTTCCTTACCGCCCAAACTTCTGATTCAGCAGTGATAAGACCGCTCGTTACCAACTATTTATATCAGAAATGCGTGGTTCGAAATCGTTCCTTCCCTCTAGCAATGACAACCTTACGTTGGCTTGCTTGGGTCCTTGCCGAACGCTCCGTCCACCATGAACGTGTGCTGTCCTCCTTCCCTGACCTCCACACACTTTTTCTAGCTCTGCGTTCCGTGAAGAAACCTGATTATGTAATCTTGCCAAGGTAAATCATGGCCTTTTGTTCATTAGTCTGAAGTATTTTTTCTATTTAATCTCTTTATTCATGTGAACTGATAGGCTGTCGTTGGTATCACTGCCACCAATTATGCGGAGCTATCTCGACGCTATCAAATAAAAGTTCTAGGAAACATACCGACTGAGTGAGTTTTGAGAAAAAATCAACGTTTGTTTTGTTTAAATTCATCTTGCTTCTTTTCAAATTCCACATTTAAAAGTTGAGGTTGGCGGAGCGTGGCGTGGGTGGGAGTGTGCTTGCTACCCACGTCCCCTTAAGGCAGGAACTAAGGCAACCTTTTCAGATAGCTTCCTGGATAAATTCTTCGAAGTGAACAGGACGGGAGGTGTTCGGGAAGCCTACCGATGCGCCCTTGACATGGCTCGAAATTTTGCCGCAAGAGCTGTAGGGCCTTGTCAGTGCAACCAAAGACAGTGCCCTCTTACGGTGGCGGGAAGATGCGCCCACTGGTTCTTTGGTTGTGCTTCTGTCAGCTTAATTCTCACTCAAGGCCTCTCTGATCGCTCTGAATCACCGTGTACAGCTACTTGTGCTATCAGCCCTCTCTCGAAAAGATCCGATTTGCGCTATCCTAAGCTTGTCGTGATACATGTTCGAATGATTTTTTTGGCTTCTTTCCCATTTTTGGTTTATTTCAGTAACCCTCAGAACATTAGCTTAAGATGCCTCTCTGTAGGCCAGTTTTGTCTCAGGGCTTGCCTTCAACGCAACAGTGGTTGTGTAGATGGGGAGACGATAGACCCGCTTGGATACCTACGAGGGGAATAGTTCAAGCCACTTCACCTTTTTTGTAGGGGTTGTCTTATGTTGTAGGGTACATGCATAGAACAAAGCATCGAGGCTCACCTTCGGTTTCAGGAACGCTAAAAAAAACCTGGAAACATTCACTTTGAGAAATGCAAAATTAAGTCGTCCAAGCAAGCCAGATTTCTGAAGAACCTAAGAAGGTGTATGCAACTAGCTTAGTTTTGTGTGCGAGATACGATACCGTAATCGTTATGCATTGAAACATGGCACACCAATGCTGTAGAAGTTGCTATTCCAAAGGAAATTTATTATCACGTTTTGGCGTTCCTACTACCGCGAACAACGACGACTCAATGTAGAACTTGAATCACTCAAGTCTTGTACGGAACTGCCGATCCTCATACCTGAACTCCGAGTACCATGTCTTAGAGCAAAGTGATTGCATTCTGGAAATTAGCGTTTAGTCTGCCTCTAGGTACACGATTTTGGCTAGTTTCGTGAACTATTAGGTTGGTAACTTTGAAATGTCG